CGTGGGCTCGCCCGGCGGGTCCCCTGGGCCACCTCCGCCTCCTCGCTCTTCCCCGCGGTTCCTTTACCCCAGACCCAGCCCGGACGCCGCCCCTGGAGAGGGCGGCCCAGCGGGCGGAGCGCGCGCGGCGGCGATGGAACCGTGCGGGGAGCTCCTTCGCTTCGGGAGTGCCAAATGGTTATGAAATAAAAAGGGCGCCGCCGTGCGGGGTGTGAGGCCGGGAGGAGCCGCGTGGCTCCCGGGGGCTCGGGGGGCGGGGAGGGGGAGGCAAGCGGATCGAGGGACCTCTGGGTGCCGCGTTCGACCGGAGCTGCCAGCACTGTCGGGTAGGGCGGCCGCGGCCAGCGTGCTGGGCTGCGAGGCTGGGCAGCGGGCCGCTCTTCCCCCACCCCCCAGTCTCCGGATGGAGATGGGGATGCCGACGCTCCCGACAAGGACCCTTGGCCGGCCCGTCTTGATTTCATTAGGCACCCGGGCTTGGAGAGGACAGAGGGGCAGGTGCCAGGGGGGCGTGCCAGGCAGTCGACCAAAGGTGCCAGGGGGGCGGGTAGGGCCGGGCAGGTGGCACGATGCTCCGGGAGCGCGCTGGAAGGGCGCATCGCGCTCACTGGGTCATGAGGCGGTCGGCACCCGTGTTCTCCTCGTCTTGAAGATGATGTCGGGGTTGTAGTTGGGGGTGAGCTCCTTGAAGCGCTCCGAGCTGCGCGCGATCTTGCCTTCATAGCGCCCGCTGGCGCCCAGGGTCTTCTCCGGCACGTTGGGGCTGAACTGCTTGTAAGCGAGCGGCACGAGTTTGCGCGGCGGCCGCCGGCGGCTGCCCACCACCCGGCCCGGCCCGCAGCCCCGTGCCGCGGGCACCAGCAGCAGGAGGAGGAGGAGGAGCAGACAGAACCGCAGTCGGGGCCGGAGCCAGGCGGGAGACATGGCCGGGGAGCCCGGGAGAGCGGCGGGCGAGGGCGCCGGGTGGGCTGCTGGGCGGGCGGGCGGGTGGGAGCGCTGCGGGGGCTCAGGCGTCTAGGTGGCTCCGGGGGACTCCAGGCGGGGGCGCCATGGGCGGCGCGGCGCGGCTCAAGGCCGGCAGGACTCAGGTGCGGGGCGGGGGCCCGGGGCCCTGGCTGGTGGCGGCGCGCTGTCCCCCTCGGCGCCTCGACTCTGAGCTGCCCGGCTCGCCGGCCGCCAATAAATAGGCCGGCCCGTTTGTTTTGGCAACGCGGCGGCGGCGGGGGGCGGCGGGCGGCGGGGCTGCGGGCCGCCGGGCTGGGCTGGGCTGGCCGGGCCGGCGGGCTGGAGGGACCCGCGGTTAGCACCCCGGCCCAGCGGTCAGGCGGCTCGGGCGGAGCGAGAGCTGCTGCCGTCTGCGGCGCAGCCTGGGGTCTAGTGAGAGGGGAAATAGAAGAGATCCGGGCTCCAGCCCCGCGCAGACCGCACCCTACCCATGTCCCTGCCTCCTGCGCTCGACAGCGAACCTGCAGCGAGGGCGACGCAGCCTCCTCCCCCTCGGGCGGG